GCGTAGAACATCTTGTTGTGGAAAGTTATTCTTGAATAATGCAGCCAGTACATAAGCGTTGATTTTATATAGTTGCAGTCGTCAAGGTCTTTTGATAATGTATTTGTGACAATATATATAGAAGAATACTAAAGCAGACTAAAAAACTTGTTATAGCGTGTTTTTCTTCAAATATGCATATTACTAAGATATACAATATGTAATTATAATTGAACATGTAACCATATATATGTACGAGTTCTTATTACATGTTTATTATGCTAATGTTACTATAGATTCTTTTAATCGTGCGAGATATACAATTATACATTAACTTACAATGTGTTGATTACTTAAAAGTAACTTACAATTTATGAAACCTAACATTTTTATTATTTGATCTAATTTTTGCATTTGAACAATTAAATGTATACTCAATTTTTCGCAAAGTCTAAATCTATCTTCTAATAAATATCTTAAAAAGTATATAAGTATTATGAAAATATTTTCGTAAATGAAACTTTCGAAAAGAAGCTATTGGCCAAATCACACAACCACGGGTTCCATACTTCGACTGCTGTCGGCAATATTACTCGATATAATGACGGCCAATGTTCATTCGCAAAATTCACGACAAGATCATCTGCAAATAAAAATTTATATGAAATAAAAAAATGTAATTTCCAGAAAAAACTAATCACGACCAAATTTGAATAAAACAGCTTTGTACTTTCGATAAAATATATATAAAAATTAATAGACGTTTACTTCGTAAAATCATGAGTTATTAATTTTTATATGTGTAAAATATATCGTATTTGAATTAATGTACTCACTGAACTCTTTATTGCGAATATTATATACCAAAATAGAGCGTTAATTTTTTTAATCGAAGGAGCTACATAAAAATCTTCTACAGTCCATATATCATTTGTTACGTGGCCTTTTAAAATCCATGGTCTTTGCAGATCTTCTGCAGTTATATTGAATGGTCCTGGGCATAAATTATAATAGTAATATAAATATGATATTATAATGTTTTTCGATTTAAAAAAATGCACAGAGTGTAATATCTCATTTTTGCCAATTATTCTGAATTTTGCTAGCGTACCTTCTGCTTTAAGTTCACCAGAACCAACTATTTTTGGTATTTGTACATTAATTTCCAAGCGAGAACTTCATCGGCAAAATGCGATTTCACAGCCAAAAAACGAGTCTTTAACAAACTCTCACCAATGTAATTTGATACGTTTGCTACTCTGTGTACTGCACCTCTATCAAATACTGCATTACCAAATTCAAAAATAAATGGATCTAAAGGTGGAGAATCGAATTCTGGAAGTTCTGTCAATAAATAAATCTATATTAGTATCGGTATCTTGATATAGGTATAATGGCGTATTAAAATTAATGATAAAATTAGTGACATATATATTACAATTTTTTTTATTCCGTCCAGATATAATTTAATCAATTTATAAAAATTGATGAAAGTTTTATTACTGTAATAATTAGCTTGTAAGCTTAACAAACATTTTTAAGATAACATTTTATACATTATGTATACATATATATATGCATAGTTTTGTTGTTAGGAAAACATGCAAATAATATAATCAAATTAAATTGTTTTTAAAGAAGTATACCTTTAACAAATTGTGACCACGCTTCCTGTATTGCAGTTTTTAAACAGTCATTGAAATAAACCGAATTTCGTTTACAGAAGGTGATAGGTGCTAAGTAGAAATAACAATAAAATAGAATAACTGTAGAGAGAGACAGAGAGAGAAAGAGAGAGAAAGAGAAAGAGAAAGCAGAAATAAAAAAAAACTTGTAAAATAAGAGAATTTTAAATATAATTTAGAAATTAGATAATTGTTAAGTATTAAAATATTACTTTATTAATTATAAAATTGCTTGAAAAGTAAAAGACTTATTATTGTTCTTTTTTATCGGTAGGATAATTAGTGTTGTGATATCTTTGAAAGTATCTAGAAAGTACAATGCAAAGTATTTTCAAACACTTACAAAGAGGCACTTCTTCTGCTGCGTTAAATCCAAACGCCACAACGATAAATGTACAAAGTGCGTAGCACATTTTGTTTGTTGAAAGTTTATTAGTGAATAATCCAGTCAGTTATAAACGTTGCAGTTTTATATAGTTAGTGTCGTCAAGGTCTTTTCAATAGAGTAATCGTGAAAACATGCTTAGGAGAATAATAAGGCAGACTAAAAAAACTTGTTATAACGTTTTTTCTTCAAATTTGCATATTACTAAGATATACAATGTGTAACTGTGATTGAACATGTAACAATATATATGTGTGAGTTCTTGTTACATGTTTATTATGCTAATGTTACTATAGATCAGTGATGAGCAATTCGTGGCCCTCCAACTACTTACCTACGGCCCGCCGAAACGGTGCACTTTATTTATTTATTTAGCTGAAGTGTAAAAATTTTAGCAAACATACCTCCCAATATTGAAAATCTTGTTGATGAGAAACAGAGCCAAATATCTCATTAATTAAACAGCAGTTACATATTTAATTCTTTCTGATAAAAAAAATATACATATGTACATATACCTGTGTAAACATACATTAAAGGTATTACTAATAAAAAGTAAATCAAATTTAAAAAAGTTTTATTGTCGAAAATAACAAATTCCACTCTATAAATTAAATTTTTTTTTATTAATATATTTAAGAATTAATATTGCGATCATTGCGGTCCCCATGGAATATTAGGTTTTCAATTTTGGCACACTGCAGAACAAAGGTTGCTCATCACTACTATAGATTCTTTTAACCGCGCAAGATGTACAATTATACATGCTACTTACAATTAATCGATTACTTAAATGTAACTTACAATTTATGGAACATAAAATTTTTATTATTTAACCTAATTTTTGCATTTGAATAATTAAGTGTGTATTCAATTTTTCGCAAAGTCTAAATTTACTTTCTAATAAATATCTTAAAAAGTGTATAACTATTGGGGAAATATTTTTGTAAAAGAAACTTTCGAAAAAAAGCGATTGGCCAAGTCACACAACCACGGGTTCCATACTTCGACTGCTGTCGGCAATAATACTCGATATAATGACGGCCAATATTCATTCACAAAATTCACAACAAAATCGTCTGCAAATAAAAATTTATATGAAATAATGTAATTTCCAGAAAAACTGATTACGACAAAATTTGAATAAAACAGCTTTATATTTTCGATAAAATATATATAAAAATTAATAGACGTTTACTTCGTAAGGTCACGAGTTATTAACTTTTAATATGTATGAAATATATCGTATTTAAATTAATGTACTTACTGAACTCTTTATTGCCGTCGAATATATCAAAATAGACCTTCATTTTTTTAAGCGAAGGAAGTGCATAAAAATCTTCAACTATCCATGTATCATTTACTACGTGGCCTTTTATAATCCATGGTCCTTGGAGGTCTTCCGCAGTTATATTATAGAACCCTGCCGTATAAATTATAATAGTAATATAAATATGACATTAGAACGTTTTTCAATTTAAAAAAATGCACAGAGTGTATTGCTTTACCTTTGCCACTTATTCTGAATCCTGCTAGAGTTCCTTCTGCTTTAAGTTCACCAGAACCAGTTAATTTTGGTACTTGTACGTTAATTTCCAAGCGAAAAATTTCATCGGCAAAATGCGATCTTGCATTCAAAATACGTGTCTTTGACATACCCTCACCAATGAAATTTGATACGTTTGCTACTCCGTGTATTGCACCTCTATCAAATACTGCATTACCACATTTATAAATTATTGGATCCAAAGGTGGAAAATCGAATTCTGGAAGCCCTGTCATAATAAATAAATCAATATTAATACCGGTATCTTGATATGTAATTACGTATTAAAATTAATTATAAAATTATTGATATGTGTATTTAAATTTTTTTACTCTGTCCAGATATAATTTAATCAATTTATGAAAATATATTTATGAAAGTTTCATTATTGTTATAATTAATTTATCAAACATTTTTAAGATAACATTTTACAGATTATATATATTTATATATATAAAATAATGCATAGTTTAATTATTAGGAAAATATATAGAATCAAATTAATTGTTTTTAAAAAGTATACCTTTAACAAATTGTGGCCATGTCTCTTGTATCGCAGCTCTTAAACAGTCAGAGTAATTAATTGAATTTCGTTTACAGATGGTGATAGGTGCTAGATAGAAATAAAAATTGAATAGAATAACAATAGTAGAAATAAAAGAAACCTATGGAGTAAGAGTATTTTGAATATAATTTAGAAATTAGTCATTTACTACACTGAGAAAAATGGTTTTATTATATTAATAAAATACTTTTAGTTGAGCGTATTTTTGTTAAACAAAACAGAATTTCTGGTTATCATAACAAGATTTTACATTTTATAACTACACCGGTTGATTAACTTTACTATAAAGATCTGATTAACTGTTTTCTTGTTGAATCTACAAAATTTCTTGTTATATTTACATAAATCGCAGCGCTCTGCAATAGTTTCGTCATTATTCACTGAACGGTTGATCAACTGTTCGCCGCATTCATTTTTTACATTGCTATTGCGTTTTCGCTACTCGCGGCGCAGTAGCAGTGTAGCAAATGCAATCGGAGCAGTCTCAACTGATCTCGCTGACAGTTTACGTCGCGTCGTGGAATCTATTACGGAATATTAGTTAGGCTGATAGCAGAGAATGAGACGTAAGTCGTAGTCGTGGACGTATGGTAAGGCAGAGAAAAACGTAATTCGTAAAAGGCTATTGTGTGAACGTTTCACGACTTATGTTTTTCTCTGCTTTACCATACGTCCACGACTACGACAGACGTCAGTGCTTACGTCTCGTTCTCTACCATCAGTCTTACATCCGAAAAGTTTTATGATCACATGGTGTTTTCTTTTTATAAAATAAATGTATACCAGTGATGCAGTATTTCCTATCGGGCTCGGGAGCCGGGAGCCCGGTAGGAAACATCGCATCACTGAGTATACTTTAAACCAAAATATATTATTATTTTAAAAAAACCACATCTATCCGAACTCGTTTCTTAACTACAAAGTTATGTTAACCTAATAAATCGATATAGTAAAGTTAACAAGAAATTTTGGTAGATTTAAACAGAATGGAATTAACCAGAATCCTCTGGTAATTCCAATAAGAAATTGGTTTCGCGCAAATTTTCGAACAAATGGACTAGTAGAATCAACCAGAAGTTTTTATAGTGCAACAAAACTTTTTTTCCAGTGTAAGTTTATATACTAATTTGTTAAATGTATTGCTTGAAAAATGAAGGACATTATTTTCTTTAATTTGTATGATATATAATATTGTAATATTTTTTTAAAATACAAAGTATTTTCAAATACTTACAAAGAGGAATTTCTTCTGCTGCACTAAATCCAAGCACTACAACGATGAATATACAAAGTGCGTAGAACATCTTGGTTGTTAGAAGTTTATCTGTTAATATTCCAGTCAATTATAAGTGTTCGCTTTATATAGTTTTCGTTGTCAAGGTCTTTTTAGCACAGTTGTCGTTAAAATGTATTGAAGAGGATAAAAAAAAAGATAAAAAACTGTTTACTTTATAACGTTTTTTTCTGCAAATATAAAAATTGTTTAGAAATGGAATGTGTATTTGTAATTGCACAGGTAGCCTTATATAGTATGTATGAGTTCTTATTATACGTGTTTATTAAGCTAATATTATTATAATTTTTTTTAACCGTGTGAAACATACAACTATACATTTAACGTACAAATAGCCGATTACTTAAATGTAACTCACAATGTATGAAACATAAAATTTTGGTTCTTTGACTTAATTTTTGCATTTGCATGATTAAATGTATATTAAATTTTTTGCAAAGTTTAAATTTATTTTATATATAATAAGTATCTCAAAAAGTATATAAGTATTATGAAAATTAAATAATATATAAGGCTCAGTAGATTATTAAAATCAATTAAAATCAATAGGAGCGTAAAGAGCCATAATGCTGGTTAGTCGTGCGAAGGTTAAGATATTTTCATTAAATTATTTACATCAAACGTTTCGACCTGCCATCAGGCCTTCTTCAGTGTACAATAGTAAAAATACAAATAAAACAAAATTTGCTCGCAAAATTCAAGACAGTGTGAAAGATGTGGAAGACATAAAAAACATCTTTTCCACCCAACTGTGGTTTTGTAGAAAAAATCAGAATTAAATTGAAATCATGTTAAAGCGCTGGTCCAAATAGAGAGGACCAGGTGGAAAACAGAGAACAGATAGTTTTATCATTTTGAAAGTCAAGCTCTTAATGTCTGGATTATGGAAATATTTTTGTAAAAGAAACTTTCGAAAAGAAGCGATTAGCCAAGTCACACATCCACGGATTCAACATTTTTACTCCTGCAGGCAACATTACTGGATATAGTAACGACGAAAATACATTTATACCTTTCACGACAACATCATCTGCAAATAAAAATTTATATGTAATAATGTAAATTCCAGAAAAACTGATCACGACAAAGTTTGAATAAAACAGCTTTATATTTTTGATAAAATATATATAAAAATTAATAAACGTTTACTTCGTAAAGTCACGAGTTATTAATGTTTAATATGTGTGTAATATATCGTATTTGAATTAATGTCTCACTGAATTCTTTATTGTCGAGTATATCAAAGTAGAGCGTGATTTTTTTAATCGTAGGAGTTGCATAAAAATCTTCTACAGTCCATGTATCATTTGTTACGTGGCCTTTTATAATCCATTCAACTTGCAGACCTTCCATAGTTACATTGAATGGCCCTGCCGCATAAATTATAATAGTAATATAAATATGACATTAGAACGTTTTTCAATTTAAAAAAATGCACAGAGTGTACTGCTTTACCTTTGCCACTTATTCTGTATCCTATTATAGTTCCTTTTGCTTCAAGTTCACCGGAACCAGTTAATTTTGGTATTTGTACGTTAATATTCAAGCGAAAAACTTTGTCGGCAAAATGCGATCTTACACCCAAAAAACGTGTCTTTGCATAACCCTCACCAATGAAATTTGATACGTTTGCTACTCCATCTACTAAACCTCTATCAAATACTGCTTTACCATATTCATAAAAGAATGGATCCAAAGGTGGAAAATCGAATTCTGGAAGCCCTGTCATAATAAATAAATCAATATTAGTATCGGTATCTTGATATTTAATCAATTTACAAAAATTGATGAAAGTTTTATTACTATAGTAATTAGTTTAACAAACATTTTTAAGATATATATATATATATATATACATATATGCATAGTTCAGTTATTAGGAAAACATGTAAATTATATAATCAAATTAATTGTTTTTAAAGAAGTATACCTTTAACAAATTGTGGCCACGCTTCCTGTATCGCAGTTTTTAAACAGTCATCGAAATTAACTGAATTTCGTTTACAGAGGGTGATAGGTGCTAAGTAGATATAAAAATAGATTAGAATAACAGTAGGGAGAAAAAGAGAGAGAGAGAGAGAAAGAAAGCAGAAACAAAAAAAACTTGTAAAGTAAGAGAATTTTGAATATAATTTAGAAATCGGATAATTGCTAAGTATTTATATTAATTTATTAATTATAATTACTTAAAAAATAAAAAACTTATTATTGCTCTTTTTTATCAGTAGGATAATTAGTGTTGTGTTATCTTTGCAAAGTATTTGCAAAGTAAAATGCGAAGTATTTTCAAACACTTACGAAGAGGCACTTCTTCTGCTGCGCTAAATCCAAACACCACAATGATAAATGTACAAAGTGTGTAGAACATCTTCCTTGTTGAAAGTTTATTCGTGAATAATCGAGTTAGTTATAAGCGTGGTTTTATATGGTTCCAGTCAAGGTTGTTTGGTGAAAGCAGTCGTGAAGACTTGTATAGGAGATTAATAAAGTAGACTAAATAACTTGTTCTAACTGTTCTTTTTCCAATATGCATATTTTTGAGGAAATATAGCAATGCGTATTACTTTTCCTTTCACTACGCGTTGTTATTCTTCGTTGCCGTGCGATCCTCGTTGCTGTCATGCCTAGAGCGTACAGTTTATGATTTAGCCACGCGCAACGTGCGATTATTCGTCAATCCGTTTTAATTAATATCTCAATTATTATTGTGAAAATTGCAAATTGGTAAAGGACTTTTTTATTCAGTTTACCGCACTCTACCCGCACACGAGCGTTGGCACGAACATTATGAAACACCCTGTATAAACAACACAACATTTAATCTTCTTTTTTATATAAATTAATATATTTTTTTTAATTCCTATTCCATTTTATTTATACGATGTAAGTTTTGTATTAAAGAAGGAAAATATATTTTATTTTTAATATTTGTCATATATTAAAGTTTTAATAACGTTAGATAAATTTTATAGAAATATTTTTGAGAAGAATACTGCAGAGAACAAGAAATTGGTTAAACCTGTCAATTACGGGTTCAATGTATTCACTGTTACTGGCAACGTTGCTTGATATAGCGGACGCCAATATTCTTTTACAAAAATTATGGCAACTTTATCTACAAATAAATATTTATATTTATCAATGTGTTCTAGAAGCAGTAAATAAGAATAAAAGCATAATATGGGTGTTTCCAAAAGACAGGCAAACTAAATTTATTATTTATGTAACTTTAAATAGAATTTTACTTTTAAAAGAGTGATTTCTGTTTTGCAAAATTAGTTGCAAAAATAAATAATGTTATTATTTTACCCATGAATTTATATATTTTACCTATTGTCTCGATCATCGCCACGAAAACACAACTCTCCTATACTTATTAGATTATGTTCTTACACTATATTTCTACATTATCTTCCTACACACACAAATAATTATGATAGCTTCTCCAACTATACTGCTGTTCGAACGTATATCATATTTACTTTAAGATATTCATATTGTGAAAGGTATTTAAATGAGTTACTTAAGAAACATTTAGCAGCCATATATATATACATATAAATTTTCTGATTTTTTAAGCAATCCAGTTAATCTGATTATTTAAGAAATACCAAGAAAACTCGATATCAATTTATAATTATTACTACTACTATAAAAATAAATTGTATTTTTTATTAAACGGTGTAACATTTTTATATTTCTTAGTGTGCAATATAAAATTATCCTGACTTTTGGTCATACTGTTTTATTTTGTGTGTGTGAATTTTAAATTTCCCCCTCCCCCCCCTTCGAAAAAATATTGTGAATATGCCACTGTGTGCAACTTATTTAATGTGTTATTAATAAGTTCTTAATAAGTCCAAAAATTGGGTGCGTTTAAGTATTATTGTTATTGACACCGAAGAAAGCCTGACGATTTTATACAACCGTTTTATACAATTTTTATCGGTAGTAAACAATTTCATTTTAATAAAATATTTAATTATATAAATATTTTTGTTTAAATAAATTTTTATGTACTTTAAAAACATATAATAAAAAAAGAGTTACATTTGAACAAAGTTAATTTTACTAAGTTTCTCATTATCATTGAATAAATCATTGAAATAAATTTGCATATTATATTAATTGATGAAGATGCTACATAAAAATGTTTTATAGTCCACGTATCATTTGTTATGTTACATGTCCTATTATGTTAAATATTTCTTTGACATTTTCCATGATCAGATTAAAGTATTCTGTCACATATACTACAATTTTTACAAGCGATTTAAATATATTTTAATATTATTAATAATAAAATTGCAATAAAAATTTGTTAGAAAATTATGTTAAATTTTTAAAAAAATTTTATATTAATATAATTGAATTGTAAAATTGTTATTTATTTTATATAAAAAAATACGCACACATTTATTGTAATAAATTTATACAGTTATGATAATTTTTTTAAGATTTATTAAAATACATAAAGTTTTTAAAGAGACTTACGAGACGTGTGTTTTTTTCTCTTTTTTTTCGCTGTATATAATCCGAAGATTACAATATTAAACACGTTCGATGAATAGTTCAATCGACCATAAAAGCTGATTTTATGTCATTTTTACTTTCAACATATTTATCTCAATCAAGACTGATGAAGAAGAGCGATGTTGATCTCTGCATAAAGACGTCAAGTCAAACGGGGCGTCTTCAATTAACTGAATTCCATTTACAGAGGGTGATAGGTGCTAAGTAAAAATAAAAAAAATAGAATAGAATAACATTAATTATATAATTGCTTGGAAAGTAAAAGATTTATTATTGCTTTTTTTATCAGTAGGATAATTAGTGTTGTGACATCTTTGCAAAGTATTTGCAAAGTAAAATGCGAAGTATTTTCAAACACTTACGAAGAAGCACTTCTTCTGCTGCGCTAAATCCAAACACTAGAACGATAAATGTACAAAGTGCGTAGAACATCTTGTTTGTGGAAAGTTTATTCTTGAATAATGCAGCCATAAGCGTTGATTTTATATAGTTCCAGTCGTCAAGGTCTTTTTAACAATGTATTTGTGACAATATGTATAGAAGAATACAGACTAGAGAGCAGACTAAAAAACTTGTTATAACGTATTTTTCTTTAAATGTGCATATTACTAAGTTATACAATGTGTAATTGTAACTGAACATGTAACCATATACATGTACGAGTTCTTATTACATGTTTATTATGCTAATGTTACTATAGATTCTTTTAACCGTGCGAGATATACAATTAAACATTAACTTACAATGTGTCGATTACTTAAATGTAACTTACAATTTATGAAATCTAACATTTTTATTATTTGACCTAATTTTTGCATTTGAACGTATACTCAATTTTTTGCAAAGTCTAAATTTATCTTTTAATAAATATCTTAAAAAGTATATAAGTATTATGGAAATATTTTCGTAAAAGAAACTTTCGAAAAGAAGCTATTGGCCAAATCACACAACCACGGGTTCCATACTTCGACTGCTGTCGGCAATATTATTCGATATAATGACGGCCAATGTTCATTCGCAAAATTCACGACAAGATCGTCTGCAAATAAAAATTTATATGAGATAATGTAATTTCCAAAAAAAAACTAATCACGACAAAATTTGAATAAAACAGCTTTGCACTTTCGATAAAATATATATAAAACTTAATAGACGTTTACTTCGTAAAATCACGAGTTATTAATTTTTAATATGTGTAAAATATATCGTATTTGAATTAATGTACTCACTGAACTCTTTATTGTCCTTGAATATATCAAAATGGAGCGTTAAATTTTTTAACCGAAGGACCTACATAAAAATTTTCTACAGTCCAAGTATCATTTGCTACGTGGCCTTTCATAATCCACGTTGCTTGGAGGTCCTCC